TGTTGCAGTTCTTCGTTAAGAGACTCACCTGATTCTCCCGAATAAAAGCCTGGTACACACTGTGGCTGAAATATGGATTCAAGTTATCGAAGTCGACTACGTTGATCAACACAGTGGCTGTGTCACTGAACCCTCCTTTATCCTGTAGCGAACACAGATGACACAGATCAGTCAGGTGTTCTCTCATCATGGCTCTAAATGATTCTGTATGAGTAGATGTTGTGTGTCTTTTCACTCACCTGGGCCGTCACAATGAAGTTGTAGTTTCGGACTACATTGTAGTTCAAACGTCTCTTCAAAATAAAAGCCCCTGAGTTGGTCATAATAAAGTCCTCTGAAGTTGGTGCCTAATGACAGAAAGTTACTGTCACATTTCCACACAGAATACTACGTATGACCCTTGATTTTATTTTTTACCCATTGTCTTGTGAGTTCATCCCTATTTAAAAATATCGGTTTTAAAAATCACATAATGTGATAATGTCGGCAGCGTGATCACATTTTCTTATCTTTTTCTGTATGTGTATAAAAATTAATTTTAAAGCTTGTTTATTTTCTATTTGTTGTTGTAAGAAACCTCCACTGCTCTGTCTGTAAGGGATAATGCCTGACGACGGGTCCATTATCACTTTTTAACAGATGACATGGAGGCGTGAACCTTCGCTAAGACTGTTAAAAAGTGATAATGGACAGCCCATATACCATGGTCACTTACCGAAGAAATGTAAAGTAATAATATTCATACATATATTATGCTTTTTGCAGTCAAAATCTAAAGTTTTTCATAAGCCATAACCCTGTTTCCTTGGCAACACCCGAGGGTTTACCTAATACCGGAAACAATCATTGCTGCCCTGTAAGGTTCTTCTGCAATGGAGACGTTATTCTCTACTCCAGTAAATACGATGAATCTTAAATATGACCTAGCAACGGGGGACATCATGCTGCGTTCGTTTTGTACTCGGAGGTTGGAAGTCGGAAGTGGGAATGACGTCACCTCTGAGTTGACGACAGTTTTTGCATTCTAGTTGACAACGGTGGACAAGTCAGAAAAAAACATGGACGCCTGCAAGAAAGCCTTTGTTGCCCGTGCACTTTCGGAGTATAGACAGCTTCAAAACCATCATGCACTCCAACTGATGAACGCAGCAGATGAGGCTGACCTAATGTAAAACAAATAAGATAAAATTGCTATAAACAGTACTTTAGCAGAGTGTTTTCTCTCTATGTATGTGACCTGCAGCCATCTTGAATTCGTAAGTCGGAGTTTCTAAGTTGGAAATCCGATCTCAGGGTGTGTTCGAGTTTGATCTTCCGACTGAGAACTGGGAATTTCCGACCTCTGAGTACAAAACGAACGCACCATTAGCTGTGTCTCAATTCAGGGGCTGCAGCCTTTGAAGGGCGCGGCTTTCGCGGGCGACGTTGGCCACGTCCTTTGAAGACCGCATCAGCTGAAACGAACTGTCTCCAAAATGGGACGATCTTGTCTGAGGAGGATTTCCTGGCTGCATCACCAGTTGCTCTGTTGGTGTTCCTGTTAACTAGCAACCAGCTGCGCTTAACGAAAGACGGAGTAAGATAGTAAGTTAGCTAACCTAAATCATGGACCGAGATATTATTATAATATGTATATATTTTGTATTCAGTACTTTAGATGATTCATGCCGCTGTTTATTTCAGGCTGTTTTCAAGTAAACGTATTAAGTTAAGCTTGTTTAAGCTGTGTGCTTTTAGCTAATAGTAATGTTAACAACTTTTAACTGTTAACAATTGTTGGTTACTTATCTTAATATATAATCGTCACCGGCGCAATGCATCTTGGGATAGGCTGGGCCACGAAGGATTCATCTGTTGCATCCTCCAAATTCTGGAGAAAGAAGGTTGCAATTTGAAATGAGACAGCCTTGGTCGCGCCAATGTGACGCAATCTGTCTCCAAATGCAGCCATTGAAGGCTGCAGCCCCTGACTTGAGACACAGGTGATCCAATCCGCCCAGCTCTTGGCATCCTTTAGCCCAGCTATTAGCCAGAAAGCTAACATTATGCACTGCATACAGTGGACAAACAGTACAGCAGCTTTTGGCAGCTGGTCGCAGGCTGCACCTCACCACTGCTTGGTGTGTTTTGGGTGTAAAACATAACTTCAGGTACTGTCAGTAACTACTCTTTGCATAGGTTTAAGTGAGAACATTCATTGTAGCTCATCCAAATATGGTTATATTATTATTATTATTACAATGGAGTATGTCACTTGGTTGTTGGCTGTGGTGCTGTCTCCGTCCACAGCTGTCACTCGAAGAACCTCGCTGTTTACTTCTCGTGCCTGAAAGAAGAAAAGGCTGAGTGACCCACAGATACAGAGAAATACACGTGTGTGTCCTGTTGCTCCTGCAGGTCAAATGTTGTTAACACAACATCTGTTACTACATTTATCCTTTTAACTCATTCTACTGCAGCTCACTTTAGATCATTTTGGCAGCATTCTGGATAAGCAAGTCCACAACTTGTCCACAGGTAAAACAAGAATTTCAAAGGTTAATCCAGCTGGCAGTCGGAGCGCATCTCCTAAACATCAGCTGAACTTAAATGAAAATGTTTTATGCAGGTCTACAGCTCCATTCTGACAGATTTCAGTGACTTACCTCAGAGACAGAGGTGTTGTAAACCTCCTGTTCAAACACCGGGCTGTGGTCATTGAGATCGTTGATCAGCAGTGTCCGAGTGTTGTTGTACTGCAAAGATAAAAACATAACTTTTAATATTCTGTTTTGTGAAGTTAGTGTATGCTGCCACTTTAAAAATGTTACCCACCTTAATTGCGCCGTCACACATGACAGAGTAATACAAGATTCTGTCACTCTGTAAGACATGAAAAAAGTGTTGAGATGACTTAAAGGACTCTGTGAAAAACTGAAAATGAGCATGTGTTCAACTATCTATCAAGCTGGAATTGAAAACTACTGTCCCTCAGCTCCAGTTCATTAAAAATGCTGCAAAACACAGAGGGAAATTTGCACTATAAAAACTACTACATGCAAATATTCTGTCTCTATCCACACTTAAAATACTTTTATTTATTTTTTACTTGTTGACATTGGCTTTATTTCTATGAGTTGACTTTAGCTGTTTTGAAAGGCGCCTTTTAAATAAGATACGGACATGCACTTGTATAGTGCCTTTGTAGTCATCCCTGGAGGTCAGCACTCATTGGCATGTATTAGCTCTAGAATTGTTATCCAAGTAACGCTGGGGCGATCAAAGAAACCATAACTGATTTAATGAGCCATTCACAGTTTCACTGTACCAGCCGTGTGTACTTAGACTTGCATATGCTACTGGCAGGATCAACCACGTAGCTCTCTCGCTGGACAGCCTGCGTGGGCGCCTGTCAGCCGCTTGTCCTGGGGTAGTGTTGCACTGGGGACCCACCTCGCTGGGGAAGGCGGGCCAAGGCGACTGTGTATCAGGTGGCCTGTGGTCCTCAACGCGGCAGGGTTTGAGAAACATCATGTTTCTTGGAGCCCTGCTGCCCGTGCAGAGGAGGTTCAGACCCCCTGGCAAATGTGGGAGAGTTGCGACCCGGTGGCTAGCTCCATTGTGGGACACCTTGGGCAGATGGGGCTCCCCGGTGCAAGGCCAACCAGTGGGGGCCCTACTGATGGTGGCACAAGTGCCAATCGGTCAATTTTATCATTTTACTATATAATGAGGAAAACTCTGTGTGTGTGTGTTCCATGTTTTTCTCCTCACTGACTTGGTCAATCCATGTGAAATTTGGCACAGTGGTAGAGGGTCATGGGAGGATGCCAATGAAGCAATATTACATCAATTGGCCAAAGGGGGGCGCTATAGCAACCCATTGAAATGTCAAACTTTGAATGGGCATATCTCCTGCCCCGTATGTCGTAGAGACATGAAACTTTGCACAGAGATGCCTCTCCTCATGAGGAACACATTTGCCTCAAGAACCCATAACTTCCGCTTATATAGATTTTCCGCCATTTTGAATTTTTTGAAAAACACTTCAAATGGATCTCTTCCTAGGAAGTTTGAGCGATCTGCATGAAACTGGGTGAACATAATCTAGGGACCAATATCTAAAGTTCCCTCTTGGCAAAAGTTGGAAAACTTACTAAAACTGAGCTTCTATAAGGCAATGAATATTGCGGAGGGCGTGGCTCATCACATAAAGGTGTATAACATCTCAAGGGTTTCACCCATCACCACGCAACTTTGTAGGCATATGACCACACATAATCTGAGGGGACCCCTCCATTATTGACCCCATCAAACAAAATGGGGGCGCTAGAGAGCTCATTTCTTATCTAGGCCTAACCGCCATATGGATTTTTACTAAACTTGGTAGATATGTAGAACAGGACGCCTCAAGGTGACTGGAGAAATTTAACTCTAATTGGCAACTGGGTGGCGCTATAACAACAGAAAAATGCTTCAAAATGGCTAAAATGCGACCGATCGCTGTGGCTCCCCCTGTGGACCAATGTTGTTGTTTTCTAATTTTTGGTATGACTAAGTCATGGTATGGTATGCTGTACATAATCACAGAAACTGTCAGTGTGTCATTCTGTCTGTCCCACGTTTTTCTACTCACTGACGTGGTCAATCTATGTGAAACTGCACATAGGCATTGAGGATTGGCATAGGTAGAAGGTGACAAAGCTACCAATGGCTATGGACTAGAAAGTGTTAGAAGCTAAAAAATGGCCGAAAAACAACAAAGAAGGTTTCTAATGTCAATAATACCCAATTTATTGTGTTATAGTCCTTAATAACAAACATTTCTGTTTCTAAAGGCTGTAGCCTGTTATATAGAGATGTATTAATACATTTTTGTTCAGTTACAAAAAGCCTCTACATGGGATTTATATCTCGGCACTATTCACCAACTTATATGACAGATATATAAATATGACAGCAGCAATAGTTGAACTCAACCACGGCAACGAGTTAAACGGTGGACATTTGGATTCAGCCTTAGAACTTGAGTGCAGAGACTTGAGTCTTACTTGTGAGCTGCAAAACAAGGACTTGGTCCCACCTCGGCAAAAAGGTTCAACAAAGTGACGCGATAAAACACACTGCCATCAAACCACCATGCTGCTGCAGTGATAACGGGACAAGTAGCTTTTTGTTTCCTCCAGTGTGATATTAAAAAAGATTGTGTACTCACCTCAACCAGGCTTTGTGATGAATTTAACTTTCCGTACGTCTGCAGCCTGAAAACAACTTCAAACTTGTATTTTTCTAAACACACAAACGCTGAGGAAAAGAAAAAAACCCTCAGAGCTCCACATGGATTTCAGTTCATAATTCTTCATATTAAAACTGTTTTTATTAATTTATTCTCTATTAAAATAAAATCAGAAGAAAATCAGAACACAGCAGAAGAAGCGAAAATAAACAATAGATTATGGAATGTATTTCAGTAAAGAAAATAAAAGCTCCAGCTGGTCCAACATGGGGGCTTTATTACAACCACAGTCAAATAAAGCACCGCTTTTATATATTCATATATATATAAAGATATTTATATATATATTTATATAGTTTTCATATACACCTTCAGGCAATGACTAGAGAGGATTCTTTACAGAATCAAGTTTCTTGTGGTTCTCTTAATTTACAGGTAAACTTAGTTTCTGGATAATTAAACCACAGAAAAAGTCAAGGCAACTTTCTTTTGCCTCGTTCATAAAGTACAAAACTGGCACAGAGGACGACCATTTTTATACACAGTAAAAATGCAATAAAATTAAATTACGTACAGAGGAGACAAAAGTTCTGTAAACCTTTCCCCGTTACAGCAAACCTCAAACAAATAAAATCACTTTCTAAAACAAATTCAAATCAGTATAAAACACACAAAAAAAACAGAACAAAAACTCTTTTTTTGCCCTTTGAAAAAAATGTGCTATAGCTTGTACGACTTTTTCTGTTTTTCTTCTTTATTTGTCAAACGGGGGGGTCGGCTGTGCGTGGAGTCGGAGTTTTATAGAGCGAAACGACACGGCGAGAGCCACTGAAGCTGGAAAAACCGACCGACTGAACATCAGCAGAAGGCAACGGACAGCAGCACACAAACAGCAGAAGAAGAAGAAGAAACTGAAACAGGAAACAGTTTTTTCCTCTGAGCAGGATTCAGATTTCCAAAGAGAAAAATTAAAAACAAAAAGGAAAAGAAAAGTTAAAGATCTCATGGCGGCTGTAAGTTGATGATGTCATGAAGAAGGCGGACCTTTAACAGACAGTTTGGTAACTATGGCGATGGTGGCTTCCACCGTCCTGTACAGCATGTCCAGCATGTCAGGTTGGGGGCCGGCATTTGGAAACACCTGTGAGGAGGAGGTGTGGCCACTGCAGCCTTCTGGCCCCTCCCCCAACAGCCCAAGGGCCGATGGGAAGGCGGCATCCTCTGAGAGGGGCGGGGCTGAGCTGTTGCTGGTCTTAGAGCCCGCCTCCTTTTCTTCCTTCACCTCCTCTGACATCGCCTCACCCCTCCTCCCTTCCCGCTGCTCTGCCTCCTCCTCCTCACCTGCCGCCACGTGTCGCTCAGGCTCCTCCCCCTGCACAAATCCCTCCCCTGCCTCCTGCAGCAAGGAGGAAGATGAGGAGAACGAGGAGGAGGAGGATGAAGATGCCTCCATCTTCTCCTCTTTTGGAGAGGAGTCCAGGTTTCCAGAGGAGGTGGGGGCAGGGTCAGGAGAGGGCGGGTCCTGCTCAGTGCCCGGGTCGATCAGCGAGGAGGAGTCTCGTGTCTCCGTGTCCGAGGTGCTGGTGGGCGTCAGCGCCTCCTGGTGGTCGGGCTTCGGCTCGCCGCAGGGCGGTAGGGCCGAGGAGGAAGAGGAGGAGGAGGAAGAGGTGGAGGCCACGCAGAGCGGCGCCGCTGCATCGACGGCTCTGTCGTCATCACTGCTCACCCTCCGCCGCTTCACCGGAGTCGCACCTTCATCCTCAGCTGACACACACACACACACACACAAGCATTTGTTTAATAAGTGCAGGTTTTTAGATTTTTGTCTTCGTCCTTTAAATATAAGGAAGGCTAATAGAATTGAATTTGTGTTAATTTGGTCGCAGCACTGAAAAACTTACTGTACTTACTGTAATTATAGGTTGTGCATAAAGACTAAAATCAAGTGATTTCTTACTGAACATTTTTGGAGGATGTCTGTGTGTCTGACAGGACTGAAAAAAGAAACACTGAGGCATCGATTCAAAGTTAAAATTAAACTGATTTATAGAGCTGCCTCCTAGTCAACTAAACGTTAGTCAAGGACAACGGTCATTAGTGGGCAAGATTTCATTGGTCACAAAAAAAAAACAACAACAACAAACATGAAACTATTAGGAGCTGCGCCATGTCAAAATAAATCCAAACCTATATGACTGGACCATGTGTGACTTTAATGTGAAAGGACAGACACAGGAAGTGTCCACACTCAGCAGTCAGACAGGAGTCAGGTTAATTTCCAGGGCTGGTACCTGCGGTTATTCCACAGGCTAGTTAATAACATGTCGGGCAGGAAATCCAAAGTGTGGGATCATTTTGAGAAGGTGAAGGACGAACCCAAGGTGATATGTAAACTCATTTTCATTGGTCGACTACAAACATGACGTATCATCTGAAACATGGAAGTAGCTACATGCCCATTAGCCCACAGCGTCATTAACAGGCGGCTCGCTCAGTGTGTGACGTGCACTTGTAGATAAAATATAGGCCCTTATTAATGAAGGGTCATTAGTACGGTTTGTATTTCTCTGTAATGTAGCACAGTGTTAACAATGTTACTGATACTATTCTTTCTCACACCTTCAACTCAAACCACCAAAATATATCATTTAATCATTACATTCATATCAGAAACATGCAGGAGACTAGTCCACTGATGGACCCTGATGAGGACTGTTGGGCGACGAGGAACAGTCTAAGTCGGGGGGAGCCCTACAGATTTTAAGTTCCAGTGACTTGATCTTGTTAAAGCCACCATGAAGCACAGTGAACACCTGGTGTGAAGATTTTTGGAGACATCATCACCCTGTCATCCCCTCAGGTGTTACTACATACATCAGTTCTGTGACGAGCTCGAGCCTCACAGCTCCTGAGCTAGAATATCTAGTGATTTTTTTGACAGAGCAATGATTGCTTGGAACATACTGAATGTGAGGACCGGTGGTGGAGAAGGTACCTTTCAAGCCCACAGTATCAAAGACAATCTTCAGTGGACACATTCAAAGACACGTCAAACTGGTGGTACAGTTTCAAAGCATGTTTTAGGTAACGCTGAGTAGCTTAGAGCTTCTCAGTCTGCTTAATTTCTTCCAGGTGTCAGAGGAAGACAAGAGCAAAGGAATCAAATCGTCTTTCTTCCTGCCTTACAAATGTCTCTGTGTTTATACTGTGTGTGTGTGTTGTACCTTTGGCCTTGTGGTCCTTGGCCTCTTGCTCCAGAGCGCTGCGCTGCTGGACACAAACACGACAGCGATTTAGCAGCTCCTGCAGGGCGGGGCAGAGGGCGGGGTCGATGGTCTGAGGCGGCTGGACAGACAGCAGCAACACCAATGCCCTCAGGTCCTGACACAGACAGAGAGAAGAGACAGTGAGTGTTCAGTCTGACACAGACAAATAGAAGCGTTGTGGGATCTGGATCTGTGTGTTTGTGTTCGTACGGCGTTCAGCAGGGCGCTGGTCTTGCTCAGCTCCAGGCGGTGAGCTGCCAGCTCAGGCTGCAGGCTGCTCTGTTCGCTCAGCAGGTTCGTCACCAGGACACCAATCAGGTTGGAGCAGCTGGGACCAGACAGCACCTGGACCTACACATGCATACACAAATGGTTGCTATGGTGCCACCTGTGACAACTGTACACACAGACTCAAGATGTGACGAGAACCAACACTTAGATACAGAGACTGGACCACTGTTGGAACAACTTTAACATTAAATATCATAAAAAATAGGTTCAATATGGACAACAGTCTTTCCCGAAAAGACAGTTTTCACCACACAGAATGATGAAGGCTGGGAAGAGGAAAACAGGGAACTTCACCTCAAAAATAAACATGAGAAAAAGCATCTAAAGGAAGAAAGAAAAAGAGTTTCAGAACAGTTTAGGGGTTTTTTTGTACCTTGTGCAGGAAGCAGGTGAGGAAGGAGTAGGCCACGTTGTTGTTGAGAAACAGCCTCTCGTCCATCAGGATACATTTGATGTACTCGCTGAAGGCTGGATCCTCACAGAGCAGCTTCACACACGTTTTAGCCAGAGCAGACTGAAAGAGCAGCAAAAGCATCTGTTTAGCTGCTCTCATCCAGGCGCCTCTAATGAAGAGCTGAACACTTGTTACAGCTTTAATCGTCCGTCTGGTGATTAAACATCCAACGTACCTGTGACTGACAGAGCTCCGTCCACAGTTTGGGGAAGAGAGCCAGGTGAAGAGGAAGTCCTTCATATGCGATCAACACACCTGAGAGAGCAACAAATGCAATATATAAATATACGTAACATGCTGTGTGTAAATGCAGCTTTAATGAACGGTGTGTTTTCAGTTTACACACAGATTTATACGTACTCAGTTTGACAAGTGTGTCGGTGAATTTCTCGCAGTTGATGGCTACGCGGCACAGCAGGTGGATGAACTGGTGGAAGGACAGGAAGTAATCCAGCAGCATGCGGTCATACACCTCGTCTTTACCCTGGGACACACACACACACACACACATATATATTATTTTCAATTAGTTGGCAACCACATCAACTGTTTTGTTTTATCCAATCAACAGATACTCAGTTGATGATGATACAAAACAGAAAAACAGCAGAAAATCCTGAATGGAGCAGAAAAATTACTTAATAAATGTAAAAATAAATACAGCAATTTCAAAAATAATTAAAAAAAAATCCAGAAATAAATAAATGAATGAATACCAGGATAAGTAGCTGTATGAATTAATACAGGGTTAAATAAATAAATACAGAAATAAATTGTTGAATGCATACATAAATACTGATAATAAAACAGCACCTAAGGTCATTTTTGTACAACTACATTTAATTATTTATGTGTCTGCACATTAATGAGGTAGGAGGTATGAACCTCTACATTTGTTTATTCATTTCTGTTTTTATTGAAGAATCATTATTATTCTGTTATGTAATAATTTAAGAATTTACAATTTATTAATTTTATTTATTTATGTTTTTATTTAAGCATTAATGAAATTATTATTATTTGTATGTTTTTAATAATTTTTATTCTTCTAATTATTATCATTAAAGAATTTACTAATTTTTATTTCTTATCTATTTATGCTTTTATTTAAGCATTTATTTATTTAAGATTTGTTTCTAGTTTTACAGCAGAAGTTATTTATTCTTTTACGTATTTATACATTTATGTATTTATTTATTGTTACTTTATTTATTTATTGATAATACTGTCATTTTTTTTGTTCTCCATATTCCTCACATTGGAAAACCAGCTTCAAGTCATGTGACTGAGTGCCTGGCATGTGGCAAGTATGATAGCTGTGTGTGTGTCTCAGTCAGGTGAGCGCACCTTGCTGCTCTCCACCATGGATGGCAGCAGACACATGTTGAGCTCCGGTCTCGGAGGTCGGATGTTGTTCTTGGCTCCCATCAGCTTGATGTTCTCTCTGCAGGGCAGGTAAGGACCAAAGGACACTGTGGACAGAAACACACTCACTGAAACCGACCTCAATATAAAAGTTTCATTAGTTCAATACATTGTAATACATCATTTAAAAGGTGAGGAGGAGGAGGAGACTCACTAGGGATGTTGCTGTGGTGGTAGGTGCAGTGGTTGTGCTGCAGGAAGGGAACCAGAGTGTGCAGAAAGTCGTGAGGACTCAGCAGAACGAGTTCCTTCAGCACATCTGCAGGAACCAGAACACAGAGCACAAAACATTAGAGTCAGAGGAGGAGGACGTTTTCAGGTCTTTTACTTAAGAGTTCAAGTAATCAGTATGATCAGTAAAATGCAGTTAAAGCATTAAAAGTGTAGAGATGTCTCCCGTGACTGACTAAATATTATGTACAGTATGTTCTCATCAGATGATTCTGACTCAGGCAATATGTGAAAGCAGGATTTAACTGTTGTAGTTGGTTTGAACTATTAACTAAGGGTTATTTTCATTATTAATTAATCTTCCAATTATTTTCTTCGTTAATCAATTGATTGTTTGGTTTGTAAAAATACAGTAAAAACAATGAGAGATGTTCGTCAAAGTGACACCTTCACAGTGTTTGTTTAACCTCAACATTTTTACTAACACATTACAATTACTGACATTATTCAAGGCACACGTTTGAGCAGCTGGAACCATTTTTACCAGAAAAATGACTTCAGCAATTATCAATTTTCTGTCAGTCATCTAACTGATTAATGGACTAATTGTTTGAGCTGTACGAGTATGAACTGTTGGGTCCTCTGAGATGTAGTACAAGTATATGTTACCCAGGCAGGCGTTGCGGAGCTCTGGTGGGCTGTAGGAGTTGAGGAGTGTGAGCAGCTTGTGGGCAAAGTCGATCCTCTCCTGCCACTGGATCAGAGCCTGCTTCACATCTGGACGACAAGACACAGAAACATCTGCTCAGAACAAACACACCTCTGATACTACTGCGGAGTCTTTTATTTCTGAAGTGCAGTTCAGACCAAAGATTCGCAATGAGATGAAACCGTTTTAGAACGTTGCAGAGAAAAGTTGGAGCAGTGTGAACTGGCCGGTCTGAGCTTGGCTAAAGCCGGCTGATGGCGTCACCTGACACTCAGCTGGTCAAATTGCCGGCGGCTGGTTTTAAAGCACATCAGATTGTAGCGAAGTCCACTGATCAAGTCAAAATGACTACAGACAGCGTGTTTGCTTGCTGCAGCAGGTGCTCCGTCCCCACCAAGCCCTCTGTTTCCATCCTTATGGTGTGCTGATTATTATTATTATTTATATTATTGTGGCGTATTAATTATGAATACAGTCCATCTGATGCTGGTTTTGTTTCATCACTG